TGATACATCAGTCTCATCTTGAAGAACACTGGAGGCTGCAATCCATTAAAAACATCCCTGTGGGCTCTGACCTCACCTACTGGAGAAGCTTCTTTTCACAGCCCTCCATATGCATTTCAGATTTAGTCAGGCCTCCCCATGGTTTACAGTGTTTTCTATCCATGTTGTTTTTCTTTAAGTGGGCTCTTGATTCTGTTGCATCGGTGGGGCCACTTGTCATGATACAGAGTGCACCTGTAATGTCCCCAGCATCCCGCAAAACATATAAATCACTTCAAAGAGCAGCTCCCCTAACATTCTCATAAACAGAGTCGGGCTCTGATTTATTTCTCTCTCCACAGACCTCTTTCTGTTCAGTGGTCCTACAACAACAAGCATCTTCCAACATTGTACCTGTGGCCATGTATCCGTTCCAAATGAACCAAATTTCTAAATGAACCATCCTGTCAGATTAGTCAAATGTTTAAAATAGAGTGGTTGAATGAGACTGAGATTTTGATTGGCAATTTAAATATTCAATTTATATTAGGTAAATATCAACTCTAAAAGGATGTCTAACATGATTAATAGTGCGTTATGCTGTTCACCAAAACTAAAACAACTTCTGTAACAATATTGTACAAAAATGTCTAATTAAGCATTTTTGTCTAATAAAAAAAATTGACACTATGTAATTGATGGAGATGAGGCAGCTACGTAATTATGACAGAAGAATACTTTGTATTGTGTATATAATAAAATAATTTATAATAAACAAAAATATATATTTTCTATATCTTATATTTTCTACACTTTGTATTTTTTTATACTTTAATAATATTAATACATTTATACAGCGATTTTCTCTGCACTCAAAGCACTTTACATGAATGAATGAATAGACTCAAGTTCGAAATTTAAACAAAACTGCTATAAATATAAGTCACAATGAAATGGAAACAGCCAAAGTTCTTTTCTTTCATATTGGGATGTACATTTTAGTAGATGGAAATATATTGGGCGGGGCTTGTTTCTGCCTATTGGTTGTTGACTGGATTTTTGTGTGTTGCACTCAAAAATGGAGGCAGATGAATGCAAGCATGGAAAAATGCTGTATACGTCATCAGAAAAAAGAAATTTATCGTTTCACTAGATCAAGTTATGACATTTTTAATAAAAATCACAACGTCAAAAAAAGTTTAAAATTCAACTAAATGAATGCAGGGATAAATCGTTCACAAGTTTAATAATAAAAATTGTGGTATTTTCATTTCATGCTGACTTTTTTGTATAGAACATATATCGAATTAAGTTTTTAAAATTACATTATTACTGGGAGGTAGGAGTAATGTAACGTTTCTCTGTAAATATATATATATATATATATATTTTTTTTTTTTTTTAAATAGAATCGTACTGTTCTCCACACACAGCTCAGCACGCATTTGCACCTCGGTTCATCTCAAATCTGACGACGCATCTATAATCATTTACGCAGTCATCACCCGGGTGTTCATAGCGTGCAAACACAGGCAAGACCTGAACTGCACATGTTGCCATCTCTGTTTAAACTAAACTCATTTAGGCCTTACAAATTTAAACTATTGTTGCGCAAGACGCGAAAGAGAAATTGTGCGCACTGTGAGAAGATGTGTGTGTGCTCTGTTCAAGCACAAGAATCTTTTTCAATTCTTGCGCTTGAACAGACAAATTCACACAAAAATTATCTGGATCAATGTAGACGTAGGCTTAAAGGGACAGCTGGCTAATATTCCTGCTGTCTGTGTTTTTAATGGTAATCAAACAAAATCCAAGGAAATCACTGCTCTTGGTTGCTTTTGAAACTTTAACCCTCTGGGGTCAACTATCACACCGGCGCAACAAGCTCACTTTTTTTCTTATAAGTGCAAAAGAGACTCAAATTACTTTGCTGATTTTTGTATGTATTTTTTGTGTATACTCTAACAAAGTGTTGTGATTTTTGGGAAAGCTTTTGGAAGTGGGAAGCTTTGTAGAGGAGTTAGATGTGCTGCTGTCCTCTTTCCCTGAGGATGGCACTCCACTGGTAGTCTTTGGCGACTTCAACATTCATCTAGAGAAGCCGTGCGCTACAGACTTCATCTATCTTCTAGCCTCATTCTATCTCAAACGGCTCATCACCACAGGTACTCACAAGTCAGCCAACACACTGGACCTGGTTTACACTCGCAACTGCATCACAGACAACATTTTGGTGAAACCTCTCCACGTTTCAGATCATTTCCTCTTTACTTTCAATCTACAACTCCCTACCCATACTCCACTAACTACCCTACCAGTTACTTTCAGACGAAACCTCCACTCACTTTCTCCCTCCCATCTTTCCTCTGCTGTGTCATCTCACCCTCAAAATTATCATCTCTGGAAGTGAATACCTCAACGGATACTTTATGCTCGACTTTAGCTTCTTCTTTAGACATTATCTCCTCCAGACCAGCATGTGCCACTCCCTCTAGCCCCTGGTTATCTGAGGATCTTTGTGGACACCGGACCAAACTCAGAGCAGCGGAGAGGAAATGGCGCACATCAAAAAACATATCTGACCTGAGTATGTATCAATCTCTCCTCTCTGCCTTCTCGGTTGATGTTCACGCCGCAAAATCTTAATACTTCCATATCAAGATCAACACCGCCCCGAACACACAAATGCTTTTCAAAACAACCGCCTCCACCACCGACCTCCTCACTAACTGCTGAAGATTTTGCTAACTTCTTCACTAAAAAAAAAAACAACTATCAGCAGTCAGTTCACTAATCCACACACACAGGAACCTAGACCAACCACTCCCACAGGAAGTAACCTTCTCTCCTCCTTCTCTCCACTAACCGAGGAAAAAGTATCTAATTTACTCCTCTCCAATCATCCTACCACCTGCCCTCTAGACCCCATCCCCTCACACCTTCTACAAGCCATCTCTCCCATACTTCTACCGGCTCTCACACATATTATCAACTTTTTCCTACAAACTGCCATTGTTCCTATGGCATTTAAGCAGGCTCGGGTAACTCCACTGCTTAACAAATAAACACATCACTCTTAGAGAATTACAGATCTGTCTCTCTCATACCATTCATTGGGAAAACACTTGAATGAGCTTCTTTCAACCAAGTATCATCTTTCCTATCTCTGAACAACCAGCTGGATGTCAACCAATCTGGCTTCAAGAAAGGGCATTCAACCGAGACCGCATTACTGTCAGTCACAGAAGCCCTGCGGATCGCAAAAGCTGCTTCCAAATCATCAGAAGAAATCATTCTCATTCTCCTCGACCTGTCTGCTGCCTTCGACACTGTGAACCATCAGATCCTTCTATCCACCCTCTCATCACTGGGCATCACAGGTACTCTTCTCCACAGGTTTGAGTCCTATCTCACAGGTAGGTCCTTCAGGGTCGCGTAGAGAGGCGAAGTATCCAAAGCACATCAACTGACCACAGGGGTTCCCCAGGGTTCAGTGCTTGGACCGCTCCTCTTCTCCATTTACACCACATTACAGGGACCCATCATACAGGCAAATGGTTTCTCTTAACATTGCTATGTTTATGACACCCAGCTCTACCTCTCATTTCAACCAGATGATCCCACAGTAGCTGCACGAATCTCAAGCTGTCTGGCTGCGTCACCTGCAGCTCAACCTGGATAAGACTGAGCTTCTCGTCTTCCATGCCAATCAATCTCTACTGCATGAATTCACTATCCAGCTAGATTCCTCAATCACCCCATCAAGGTCGTTCAGAAATTTTGGAGTAATCTTCGATGACCAGCTGACCTTCTCAGACCACATTACAAAGACAGCTCGATCATGCAGGTTTGCAATGCACAACATCAAGAAGATCAGGCCTGTCCTAACTGAGCAGGCGACACAGCTTCTTGTCTAGGCCCTGGTAATTTCTAGGTTTGATTACTGCAAAGCTCTTCTGGCTGGACTTCCATCATGTGGAACTAAACCTATACAAATGATCCAGAATGCTGCTGCTCGTCTTGTCTTCAACGAGCCCAAAAGGGCCCATGTCACTCCTGCATCTCCCTGCACTGGCTGCCACTCTGGCTGATCACACACAACTTTTCAGGTTTGAGTATACATTTAACTTTGTTGGACTTTCACAAACAATGCTGGAATTTAAAATGTTTAAAATTTAGTTTACTATGAATGATAACTTGTTTATTTATTAAAAATATGGCCTGTTTTTAATGTAATAAACCCTTTAAAATATTTATTTTAAGCTCATTTGTATTATTATTAATTATAATAATTGTACATGCAGCTGCCACACACAAATCTAATTTAATTACAATTACAATATTTTATAATTGTATTTATTATTATTTATTGCAAAACTGTGCAGCCCTTTTCTATGTCTCTATCCATGATATTGATCCATAAAAAAGGGATGATTGGATGAGGGATGGATGTATGTATATCTGTCTTTATAGAGGCACAAACAATATCAAACTATACAAATAAAATAGTACTGAATTATGTGTGTTACACACAAGTGTTACAACTAACCCCTCTGTATGTTACAATTAACCCCGCATATGGGGTAAGTTGTAACATTTGCACTTCTGTCACTTTCAGTCCAACTGTACGAAAATGGTAGGTCCTAGAAAAAAACTTTAAGTGTTCATTTGTAGCAGAGATGTGTAAATGTGAAATGTGTTGCTTGTGTAAAAACAAATATGAATCTAACCTAATTACTTTTTAATTAATTGAGCCAAAACCAAAATGCGTTAGGTTGTGCCCCGCTCTCCCCTAGTCCTTTTTTTTCCATAGCAAACATATTAAACCGTTCCAAAACTGTGAACCTAAAACTGTGATACAAACCGAACCATGAGCAATTTGAACTGTTATACTCCTAGGTAGGAGACACCCCTTCTTAGAGTGCAGTTGGCTAAACTAAGAGATCTCTCCCTGAGTCAACAGTCTATTCTCCAGTATTTGGAGAGGATATGATGAATCTTAGTCTATTTGTTTGTATTACCTCCTAGTTCCTTCACATTCAGTATCGCATTTTTGAATGGCACTGCCTTGATGCTGAAACCTGTGGAAGAAAACATGATTTCAAAATTTGCACAAACTTTACGATAGATTTCACAAATTACACTTAACAGCAAAAAATACTCCTCTAACTAATATAAATTTCAAACATTATTAAAGACAAGTGAACAGTCAGCAATACAAAAGATCTAATAAAAAACATGGCAAGCATAGCACAAATGAACAATAGACCAAACATTGATTTAAGTTTTTTGATTAAGATCTTACAGTTAGGGCTGGACAATATGGCCAAAAAATCATGTCTCTGTATTTTTTGGTTGAATGGCTTTCTGTCAGGACCACTATGAACCGTTGAATACGATTTAGCATATGACAATTAGCATACAGTTTGGAATTGGATTGGCAGCATGGTTCTGTTCTGGGCAAGATCTTCAGAGAGCAGTAATAACCCCCCTTAGAACAGAATCAACATGAATGTATTGCAGATATCATTAATTCAATATTTTAAAGTACAGCATTATTTGAGATTTTTTTCTGATTCAAGGAGAATCAGAATGCCAAATCCTGAATGACAAGAGGAGGAGCTGGGAATGGAGGAGGGTAATTAGCTCCTGAGGACCACGATAGCTGTTAACTATACTGAAGGAGCTTATAAATATATACAGTGATAGGCGTCGTATTCCAATAGGTAGACTTGGATCAGCTGAGATGCATCCAGCTGATGCAAACTTGACTAATGTGACCTGCCAGAACTAACACTACACTTTATATATCTTGGTATTTTCTACGTTTATCCATTTGCCCAATAATGTCCTACAAACAATGTTAATATTGAAGGCTATGAAAACAAATATAGTTCTCTTTCAGTTCAACGCAGTCAACGTGTCAACTGATTGGGATCACGCTTAGGGAGCCTGTCATCTTCGAGTACTGTTGAAACGAGCAAATGCATCATACACTCCGCCCCCATGGCGCAAACAAAAATATGGAAGTGGATGCACTCACTAGTTGTCTTTCAATTTCTTTGGAGCCGATCATTTGATGTCTCTGAAGAGTGCTGTTGTTTACAATAGTGTTGCACGGTGCACCGATACTTCAAAAGTATTGCGATTCTCGGAAATTAAAAACTTCACGATTCCTAATTCGCTGTGTTGTTACTTTGCCGTATCTATGTGGCATAACAACAGCTCTTGATGTTGTTCAAGTCCCTAGCCATCTTACTTCTCAGTGGGGGTACCTGGCCTGGAGATGTGGCCGTGGCAGAGAACTGGAGCCGGGTCTCTGCCTTCCACCTCGCTGCCCCTCCTCGGGTACGCCGGTGGTTCGGGTGGGCTTGTTGGGTCGGTACCTGGAAGTCTGGCTAGTGTTTCCGGGTCCGTCCCGATGACACATTCACACCATTCGGTTCGGCTATGCAATTCAGTTTGTACGCCGGCCTCGCAGGTTCAGGGTGCGGTCAGTGGACACCCCTGTCCTGTGGAAAGAGATCGATGTCCTGCTGGCGAAGGACGTGATAGAGCCGGTCCCTCCTGCTGAGATGAGGTCCGGGTTTTACAGCACCTACTTCACTGTACCCAAAAAAGGCGGTGGGTTATGGCCAATCCTGGACCTGCGTGTCTTGAATCGGGCCCTGCACAAACTCCCGTTTAAGATGCTCACGCAGAAGCGCATTTTCGAATGCATCCATCCCCAGGATTGGTTTGCAGCGATTGACCTGAGGGACGCGTACTTTCATGTCACGATTCATCCACAACACAGACCATTTCTACGGTTTGCTTTCGAGGTTCGAGCATATCAGTACAAAGTCCTACCCTTCAGGCTGGCCCTGTCGCCCCGCGTCTTCACGAAAGTCGCGGAGGTGGCTGAGAGAACTGAACCATTGTTCCCATGAGAGAACAAGGCGTTCACATTCTCAAATATCTGCAGAGGCTCTCTTATCTCGGTATTATCTCAGTTCCTTTCGAGGCAGGACAGCGGTTCCACTGAAACAATTTCAGTGGCTCCTGGGGCATATGGCAGCTGCAGCCGCAGTAACGCCGCTCGGCCTGTTACATATTACATATGGCACGTTCTGGGTCAAAGTAAACCCGCACTATCACCAAACCTTCTCCCCATGGTCAGATCCTACATTTCCGGAGTGGCCCTAATCCATATTTCCAGGCATGCTGTGGTTTTCACAGATGCTTCTGCCATGGGATGGGGGGCCACGTACAAAGGGCATGCAGTCTTGGGTCTGTGGACGGGGCCCCAGCTGCATTGGCACATCAACTGCCCAGAGTTGCAAGCAGTACGCTTGGCTTTGTGTCACCTTAAAGGGCTTCTAAAAGACAAGCACGTACTGGTCCGTACGGACAGCACTGCAAACGTTGCGTACATCAACCGACAAGGTGGTCTACGTTCTCGCCGCATGTCGCAAATCACCTCCCACCTCCTCCAATAGAGTCAGAAGCATCTCAGGTAACTTCACGCCACTCAAGTTCCAGGGGAGCTCAACCATGTGGCAGACAAGCTTTCACGGTTGCCTCCACTGCCAGAAGAATGGTGACTCCACCCCCAGGTGGTTCAGCTGATCTGGAGTGTTTTCGGAGTTGCAATGCACAGGTGGACCTGTTTGCCTCTCCGGACACGACCCATTTCCGGTGGTCTTACTCCCTGTCCGAGGGGACCCTCGGCACGGACGCCCTGGCTCACAGCTGGCCCCAGGACTTACGCAAGTATGCATTTCCCCCAGTGAGCCTTCTTGCGCAGACCCTGCGCAAGGTCAAGAAGGACGAGGAGCAGGTCCTGTTAGTGGCGCCATATTGGCCCACCAGGACTTGGCTTACGGAACTCATGCTCCTCGCGACAGCCCGTCCTCGGCCGATTCCTCTGAGGAAGGACCTCCTTTCTCAGAGACGGGGCACTCTATGGCACCCGCGTCCAGACCTCTGAAAACTCCATGTCTGGTCCCTGGACGGGACCCAGAGGTTCAAGGTGATCTACCACAGGCTGTGGTAAACACCATCGCTTCTGCAAGAACCCCCCTCTATAAGGCGCCTCTATACCTTGAAGTGGAACCTTTTCATCAAGTGGTGTTCCTCCTACCATGAGGACCCCCGAACTTGCCCGATCAGAGAGGTGCTTTCCTTCCAACCAGATGGGTTGGAGCGAAGGCTTCTACCTCCACCAAAGTATATGTTGCCGCAATAGCCGCACATCACAATGTAGTAGAAGGTCAGTCTGTGGAGAAGCACGACCTGTTTATCAGATTCCTTAAGGGTGCTAGTAGGTTAAACCCACCTTGTGTTTTGCACTCTGTACCCACTTAGGACCTAGCTCTGGTACTGAGAGCTCTTAAAAGTTCTCCCTTTGAGCCTTTGCTGACAGTGAAGCTAAATATATACTGTCCATTAAGACAGCGCTCCTGTTGGCACTGGCCTCTTTTAAGAGGGCCGGGATCTGCAGGCTTTTTCGGTCGACGAATTGTGCCTAGAGTTCGGGCCAGGTCTTTCTCGCGTGATATTGAGACCCCGGCTCGGATATGTGCCCAAGGTTCCTACCACTCCCTTTGTAGCTCAGGTAGTGAACCTGCAAGCTCTGCCCCAGGAGGAGGCAGACCCAGCCCTAGCTTTTCTCTGTCCAGTCCACGCCCTGCGGGTTTACATCGACAGAACACAAACCTTCGTTACCTTCCCCTTTCCTTTTATCCAATGTCCACTGAGTGGGTCTTGCGGAACAGCAGTCTCTAGCTAGCTCTCTAGCTAGCTCCCGTAATTTTTAGAAACTGCTTTGGATAGCTTAGCTGGGCGCTGGAAAGGGCCAGCACCATGGCATTTTATTAGGGATCCCAATTCGTCAGGGAACTCCCCCGACGACATGTCGAAAAAGGACGAAAGGGAAAGTCTTGGTTACATTTGTAACCCTCGTTCCCTAAATTCAGGGAACGGAGACATGTCGTGCCTTCGCCTTGTTGCTGTACCTTCGTGGAGGACTGGACTCTGTTCGGCTCCTCAGCGAAAAGCGTCAATGCAATGTTTACTTCCGCCTTTATACCCGCGCTGGTAGGCAGCTCGCAGAATGCACATTTTGCATGCCAATGTTTATTGGCTCGTTTTTAATTCTCTCTAAGGCAATAGGCTCCCTAGCGTGATCCCAATTCGTCAGGGAACTCCCCCGACGACACGTCTCAGCTAGGAGGGTTACATACGTAACCGAGATGTTTTTGATGCACTCTGTGAGGAGCTAGTACTTGGATGAGACTGCTCAGACTTAAAAAATAAAATAAAAATAAAAGTTCTTCGCCCAACAGTCTTGGGGACATCGAAACGTCGAGGAAGTTACCTCTAGAACGCAGCAGATTGCTTTTTTTGCATCCAGAAACCTATCAATGACACAGTTAATAGCATTGCTAAATAAACTTGAAGGCAAAAGTCCAGAAGAACAGACCTATCCTTATCTTTTATATCAGACAGATTTAAATAAAGATGACGGTCTGTGGCCACCAGGGCTGCTATAGAACAGCCCACTGACTTGGCCGTCTCGTTAGTGGCGGCCAAGGAGCGACAGGTCTGTTGCGCGACACAATTCTCGAATCACAACAGCGCTGACTTCGCGGGGCGTCCAAAAGAACAGACCTATCCTTATTTTTTATATCAGACAGATTTAACCAAAGATGATGCTCCATCATCAAACAGATGAAATGAATCGGACAAAGTCTTTTATCTGATATAGGAAGATAGATGAACAACGGACTGAAGAAGACAGGCGGGCTGAAGAAGGAAGGCAGACTGGAGATCCAAGAGACAGGCTGAGTAATCCGACGATAGAGGAAGTGTACATAGACGACTGTCTATACGAGGCTACCTGCGGAAATTTTGACATAATTTTGTGTGAATTTGTTAATTCAAAAACAAGATGACGTGAAAGAGAACTCAGTTCAGTATTCAATCAATATCTGAGAAGCGGCGTTCCGAATTGAGTTATATACTGTATATATAGTACCTGTTAAAGTGTGGAAACATTAAAAGTTTAATGTTTTTGAAAAGTCTCTTATGCTCACCAAGGCTGCATTTATTTAATCAAAAAATTGAGTTAAAACAGTATAGCTACATATTATTAAAAATTATATTCTATTAATTTAATTTCTTCCAGTGATGGAAAAGATATCAAAATTTACCGCATTATTACTCCAGTCTTCAGTGTCACATGATCCTTAAAGGGGTGGTTGATTGCGATTTCACTTTTTCATTTTAAATAGTGTGTAATGTAGCTGTTGGTGCATGAACAGTATCTGCAAAGTTGCAGCGCTGAAAGTTCAATGTAAGTTTAATGCCTGCAAAAACGACTCGAATGGGAAAACAACGGGTTTTATACGCATCTAACCCATACATTTGCATCAACCCTCCCTCCAGAATATGCAAAAAAGGGCATGGCCATATTTCTGCGGCTCATCGAAAGTGTTATTGTATCTGTGTTCGGGCTTTCCACGGACGTTACAGTTCGTCAACAATGGATAGAATTTATGTTTGATTATGTTTCTGAAAATTACAATCGTAATTTAGCTCTCTGTGCTGTGCATTTTACGGAAGACAGCTTCCAGAATCTCCACAAATTCAATGCCGGATTCAACAAGAAACTGTTATTAAAACATAAAGACGGTCCAACTTTAAAACCAGAAGCAGCAGTTGTTGGGCCACAACCTGTAAGTAAGACTTAATAATTTTAAATGTATTTGCATGTATAATTTCAGACGTAATGTTTTAGTTTTATCAAATGCCAGTGTTGGCTTTATAGCCACTTAGTTATGCTATTTCGTGTCTATGACAAACACATACAAATATTTGGACTTGAGTATGTGCTAATTTTGTAGATGTATTTTTTCATATATATACACTTTATGACGTAATTTTTCAATTTGATCAAGAGCGTAAACCAATGTCAACACTGTTTGTGTATATAGCTAGTTAGTTCGATGCTATTTTGTGTAAGACAAATAAAGTTTAAAAAAAAATATAGACTGTAATCGCAGCAAAATTCAGCTGTTGTTATCAGTGTACAGTATGGTTTTAACACATTTGCCACAGGTAGGCTATACCTAAATAAAACAATACCCTGAGTAAACTAAATTTTGTGAATAGATAAACGGTTATTCATTGTATCAATAAAACAATAATTAAAAAAAAAAATTATTTAGTTATATTAAATGTTTAATCAGGAGAAAACCATATCTCAAAAGCTAACAAGCAGCAGTAGTATTTTCAAGAAACAACGTACTAAAATTCTTATAATAATAGTAGAATAGAATAGAATAATAATAATAATAATTTAAAAAAAAATTACCATTCAAAAACGTTTTGTAAGAGCCGTGTTTGGGGAGGTTCTGCTAGACTCTCTTCATCGCCGCTTTCTGGGTCTGCTTCTGGCTCATACTGATACGGCAGTATTGACACCAATATTTACATTTGACCGGAGCACATTCAACTTCCGCCCGTAAAGGTAATGGGCGTGAAGTTTCCGGACAACGTGCACTACACAGTTTAGCCAATCAAAACACACCAGCCCAAACTAACCAATCTGAGTCCATTGCCTGTTTCTGAGGGAGTGGTTTCATAGAATCAGGATGTTAACCGGTCATTCAAATGACAGAGGAGAAAGCGGCTTACAATAAAGGTGAAATTTATGAAAAATAAGACTTTTTAAAAAAAGAAAAAACACGAATACATGTTATATTTCACCCCATAAACACAATCATGCAAAGAAAAAAAGCAGCAAACCACCCCTTTAAGAAATCGATATTATTATTATTATCATTGTTATTATTATTATTATCAATGTTGTAAACTGTTGTGCTGCTTAATATTTTTGTGGAAAAGGTGATACTTTTTTCAGTATTCTTTGATGAATAGAAAGTTCAATGAACAGGATTTATTCGCATTTATTACATGTATTAAAGCATTTATAAAATATAAATCTTTTGTAAAATTATAAACGCCTGTCAATTTTGATCAATTTAATGCATCCTTGATGAATGAAATAATTAAAAAAAATAATATTTTAAGTAAAAAGTATTGTAATCTTAGCGCAAATATTTGAACGGTATCATTGTTTCCACAAAAATTAAGCAACAAAAACTGTTTTCAACAATGATAATACAAATGTTTCTTTTAAAATTGATAATGGACTGAACCTCTGAACCCCACGTTCATTTAAAGCTAAGTTTCATGAGGCAAGTTTCATCAAATGCTCAGCAGGTGAGAGTAAATATACTATGAACAGGTGAGAACCTCCATCTAGGTCTGCTGGTACAGACCAGTGGCTCTGACCATAGCTAGACTTAATCTAACCATAACCATATTTCAACAAGAGTTCCCAAATAACACTTCACTATTATAATTACTGCTTCACTAGACAGATAGAGACAGGTGTGTTCGCTCCAAAGACAAAGGGCGATCATTATTGGATGCACATTCTGGGTTTGTGTACAGTCTAGCGTGCTGTATACATCACAATCCGACTGTTAAGACGTGCCGAAGAAAGCCTGACACAATTGTGTCTTCTCTTGTAAAAAGAACCATTTGTGTTGTTGGTAAAAACGGAAGTGGTGTCATCCATCTCAAGAGATGAAGATATTCTTGAATAAACCAGCCTGTCGACAAGATCTCTAATGAAATCAACAGTCTTTTAACAAGGAAGAAAGTGAGTGACAAAACCCAGATGTTCTTAAAAACAGACACACATACGCACCAAGAGCTCCTCTGCAATTGTGCTCTTTCTTTGGTAAAGTAACATAGTGCTCAAAGGCAGGCTCTGAGGTAACCTGCAGCAATAACGTTAAACATATTTCAGCGGTCAAATAGGCTGAAGCACACATGGTGACAATGAAGTTATTTTGCAGACGTTCCAAAGCACTGAAAATGCATAGAGTCGAAGATATGATGTACAAGTGTGGACTATCAGTGCAAAGGTTTAAGTAAATGCACTGCAAAAATAGTGTGCTAAGTCGATTTGTTGGAACGATTTGGCACATTTGTTTGAGAAACAGGAACTGAGGCTTGTTTTAATAGAAAATGCTTAGTCTTTTTAGGTCTCACGGCTGAATATGTAATTCGATCTTATTTTTGATGGCTTACAAAATGCTGCAGTACAAAGCTGCAGAGAAATTTTATAATACCTGTGGTTGGTATTGTGCCATCACTGATCTCATTGCACAAGCGAGATAGCAGACTGGTCTTGCCGGCACCGCTCAGTCCAATGCATACTACATCATACTCCGGTCTAGCTGGAGGGGGGGCCTTACAGCACAATTTCTGGAGACACTAAAAATACAAAAACACAGAAAAGACAAACATGGTTCGTGACTATGAGTGGTACACTTTTCACTAGCGTGCTGATAAGGCTGAAATGATTCTTTTAAGCACATGTTTGCCAAAATAAACAGAGTAACACGAGCTGAAAAATGCTAATGAAGTACCAGAGAAAGATGAACTAATGTGGTGATTTGAAAGCAGCACATCTGGAGGAGACCTCCAGAACTCACAATGAAATGACATAATTGACAAAATGGGACATGAAATTTACCACACAGCTGTTGCTTTGTCAGTGACTGTGTTTTCCAGTGTTCTTTAAGCTTTAATAAAGGTTTTTTTATTAAAACTAACTGTTTTGAATATTTCTGAACTTTTGTTATAGGAAGATGACATGAAAACGTTTTAGGCATTTATTTTTGCTGATTTTTTTTATTTTCGTGCAGATTTTATCATTTAACTCTTGTCCCATGTCCAGATTAGCAATCTTTGAATATGAAAATGCACATTAAAAAGTGAATATATAAATTGTATGAAAATACATTTTTCAAAAGTGATTTACAATTGTGACAGTTATTTAGACGTTTCCACCTTTCAATGGTAAGTGTGCTTGTTTACCAAGGAGATTACGGTATCAGTGAAGAACATACTTTAGACGAAATTATTTAAATATTAAGTTTTTAAAACTGTATTTTTCCTCTGTAAACAGGCATGTGCATATTGAATAAGCCACCAGAACGGAAGAAAAGGTGTTCAAACATGGAGCGAATTTGTGGTAACGAGCAAAACTCTCAGATGACCAATTGGGTTTTGCTTAAACCATTTATGACCTTTACCTTAAAATAATAATGTTTAAGATGTTTACCTTACAGGTTGTGTTGAGGTTAAGCATAACTGGTGTAAAATAATGCATATAAACACACTAGATGATTTACTGACACTCCTGAACTAAAATGGCTGAGATCGCCTATCCTATTGCTTAATAGAGCAGGCTTTATTGTAGAATTTGCTTGCCCTAACATGTAACATAGATTGTTACAAGACAGTCTAATGCAGTCTGTGTCTGTTTAAGGGGGAGGGTGTGGGAAAGAGATAAAGAGGCAGGATTCTGAAAGTGTGTGTCCTAATGAAAGCAGACAGACCAGTCACTTTATGAATCACTGTCTCTGACTGGAGGCCTGCTGGGAGACATTAGGAGGCAAATGCAGTGTGAACCATGAATGGGACAGTTAAAGCCGGTGTGGAGAGATCAGTATACAGAACTAAAGAGAGATATATTTTATTAGTAGGACAGTACTAGCCAAGGCGATTCTAGCCTTGACCTTTGGATTATTTCATTCCAAATGGAAACATACCCATTGTAGTCTTTTTATGAAGAGCAGTTTCTTTTTAAATACCAAGACAAATACAACTTTAGAAGAATGTTCACAATTCCCACAAGCCAAAATTATACTCCCATAAGACAAAATTATATCTGGACAAATTATATTTTAAACATATGATAAATATTAGAGTGTGAATTTAGGAAATATAATTGTCTAATTGGAAAGTATATTTCTTTTAAATCTCTAAATGCCAAAATAAAGCAAAATATGCATCAAGTGACAAGAAAATACATTTTTATGTAATGTACAATTAAAACATATTTAAAATGTATTTTGAACAATATAAATATATTTACATTAAAAGGTATATTACAAATGACAAATTTCAAAATAAATTATATGCATGCAAAATCCTATAAAAAAATTATGAGCAATATTTTGTCTATTTTGGAACACATTTAAAAATATCTGAAAATCTTTTGCTGCATGAATTTGTATACAGCAAAAGTGTTGTTGGCCAAAACATCTAAATTCTGCCACAGAGACCGCAGAATTATGTAGAATTACAGCTCACTCATGTATTATGTAATTCTTCCTGAATCCTAACATGGAAAGGCTTGTAGGCAAACAAATGTGTCATTTGCTCTGGAGTTCTTCCATCAGTATAAAGCCTAAATTGCTTTCACAGGCCCTCCTTCACAGGAACTGCCACAGAGAGGCCGTCCTACATAGTCGGTCGGCCGCACATGCTTCTGCTTTGTCACACAGCAACCTGGACATCTGGTTCTGTAAGAGGCTGATGAATTTACCCTATTCACCCCACCTTCACTTACAGTGCTCAGATGGGATGATAAATTTACATCAGTTGCTTAAGGCACGTCCTGGAGCTTTGACCCCACGGCCCACAGGAGCACAGGGCCACACATTTCAGTGCCCCATGTTGTCGCAGTAGAGCAAAATAAAAGATTTCCCAGGTGTCCAAGAAGTTGCATTTCAAACAACTGTTTGGTCAGGATTTTTCTCGTGCCAGTAAGGCAGGTTGAAACTAAGGCTGCCAAAAGGTTTCTATATGCTGAGAAATGCTAAGTCTTGATTGATTCTTTTGGCTCTAGTCATTCATATTGAACACGTTTAATTGTTCGAGAGCTTCGAGACATTACCTCACCGATGTTGGGGCAGTTGTAAAAGCTGATTAACTGCTTTTTATGTAAATGAAGACTTTAAAAGGTATAAATATTCCAGCCTGACAACAGCTGTGACACGACTGTGGCACATTTTCAAATGAAATGTTTCGCTAAAAGGTGCGCAAAAAAATAAATTAAAAAAAAAAAATCTCTCAGGCCCCCTTATCCCACCCAGCTTTCTATTTGAAAAGAAGATGTCAAAGACATCAAACGGCTGATGTAATTAAAAGGCCTGGCAGAGATCCAGGTCTTGGCACCAAAACAAAGATACGACAGGACTAGAATCCTCCAGCACAGCAGACAGGAGAACACAGCTGGGCCAAATCCACTCAGTATTGCAACAATATTGAATCTTCAGCCCTTATGGAAGCAACGCTGAACAATACGCCACTGCAAAAACAACTCCCCGCCTGCCAACTTCTCCTGAATGGACCCCTCGGCTGAGTGAAGGAGACCCTGTCTGCTCTGTCCTTTAAAGAAAAACAGTCGTCTGAAATTCCATCATGAGAAAAGGAACACGCTTTGCACTCGGCAATGACAACAGTGATCGCTCGGCGGGGTTATTGGCGAAAGACTTAATCCTTACAGACATATACTGTATAGAGATACTGTTGACTGGGTGGGGAGGGGGGTCTGAGGGTCCGTCTGTCCCCCAGACATGCGATGGCCAGCCGTTACTCACTTGTCTGCTCTATTTTAAATGACAGCTTTGTATTTTAGAGCCAATAAATGAGGGGGCGAGAGCGAGGGAAGCACCATGCAGACAGACAGGTCTCAAATTTCACTCATTTGTCCTCTGAGAGTGTGGAGACAGAGCAGACGTCTGCCATTGGAGCGTCAGGCAGCGATGCCATCCTGTTTTCCCCAACTGCACCTCTAAGCATCGCCCATCGCCATGGCTTTGACAGTGACACTTTGGCACCTCAAAGGATTGCTGCATTATTGCACCGTTAAAAATGGCAATTCTGTTATTTAATCACCCTTACATCATTACAAAATAGTAGGGCTGGGAGAAAAAAAAATAGATTCACCAAGCTATTGAGATTTTTCCTTTTTAACGATTCTATTTTTTTATTACGGAATATTCTGATATTAATTAAAATTCAATTGCTTTATTTTTGTCATTACTTGTAGATGAGGTTGACAGAAGTTAGCCACTTTCATTCCAAGTTCCAAAAGAGGATGAAATGTGTCGTTGAGTGACTGAGTGACGTAACATTCCCAAGTGGACCCATGGAAGAGATGTGAGACTGAAAGCATTAAAAAGCTCTCGTGCTACTCATATGCTGAGAGAGAGAGAGAGAGAGAGAGAGAGAGAGAGATTGTGTTAAGTGTTTATGTATGTATATGTGCATGTATGTGTATATATATATATATATATATATATATGTGTGTGTGTATGTATATGTATATATATGTGTATAGAGTATTTGTTGTATATGCTTTGGCAACATTGTTTGAAAAACTTTCATGCCAATAAAGCCCCTTTGAATTGAATTGAGAGAGAGAGAGAGAGAGAGAGAGAGAGAGACAATAGAGCTGTATGATTCATTTTTAAAAGACTGTGATCTCAATTCAAACACCCACGCGATATTGAAAATCATATCGCAACATTCAAAGCTGTGTTGGCGCTGCCGCTGCCGCTGACTCGGAGAGAGTTGACATGAAACAGCTTCACAAGCAGTCTTTTCAACCTCAGGATAGTATCATTATTTCTGTGATGCAATTGTTAAAATGATCATAGAAGTACTTGGATAAAAGTTTAAAGTTCAAATATGAACACTGTCTACTATAGCGTTTAAAATCAGCTTTTTATAGAAACTTAGTGCTTAAAATAACACATTTATGGATTACATTGTTTCGCCACTAAGTGGCAACAAGTGAATTATAAAAAATATTTGTTATTGAATTATTTATTTAAGAAAATGTAGTTTTGTCTGATGTTTCTTGAAATAAAAGTCAGAAAGATTTGATGATTTCTTTTTGTAAGTACAGTCTAAGCGTATACTTAATACACTTCATACAATAGAATACAAAACAATAATTCTAAAGAATCTTCAAAATGTTTTTTATACAAAAATGTTAAATATCAATAATATTGAAAATTATTGTTATTAATGTAATAAACAATGTTAATTTAAGAGCTGCACCAAAGGCAAAGATTATTAGAAAATAACAACTTAAATATTGGTATTGTCTAGAAAACACAATAAATCGATACTATATTCATTTATTTACTGTAATAAACTATTTATTATTTATTTTTCATTTATTGGATACATATCAGCTTATATTGGATTGTGCATGTAAATTTTCCGTTTTTACATTTAGATTACCTTTACTGTCATTTTAGACAAAATAATCTAGAATTTCCGTATCAGGCTATTGTCAGTATCCATTACATGAAAATAATGATCTGCTTATCCGTATCCTAATCTTAAAGGAATAAAGGCTTATCTCCCTCCTAAAGATCTGGAGAGAGTGATAAATGCCCTTCTCATAA